ATTTTTTTCCTTGTCTTATTCTATTGGCAAGAGCCTCCAGTTTAACGGTAACTAGAAATGCTAAGTATAGACATTCATGTTGTGTGCCTATGGGGAGAATAGTTGGTGTTTCTTTATTTAGTATGTTGACTATAGGTTCCTGTCAAAAACTTCTGTGAGGGCTGGGGATTTAGCTCAGTGGCATAAGTACCTGTCTGGCAAGTGCAAGGTCATGAGTTCGATCCCCAGCACCAAACAAAACAAAACAAAACAAAACAAAACAAAACAAAACCTCTCAGGAAGCTATGTTATCATGGTGCCAACCTCCACGTGATAGAAGACATAAACCCTCAGCTTCATGAATCAGAATCACAAACAAGTATAGGCAAGATTAGTAAAAGTAGTCCACCCCTGTGGCATACTTCAATGAAACTACTGAACACCAAAGCCACAGGCAAGTTTTCATAGCCAACAGAGGTCACTCAGGAAGGGATGATCATAGCTTGACTACCTACAGAAGCCAGGAGGAAGCGGAATTACATCTATAGAATGCTCAGAGAAAATACATCTGGAAACCTGTAACTTCCCCTGAACCAAGCTGTCACCTATTAGGACAAAACTTAAAAATGCAGACAGGCTAAAGCTGAATGTATACTTTCAGAGACCTTGGGGAATGGAGCCTGGGCCTCAGAGAGCAGGTGATTAAGTGCAATTTGTGAGAAGGGAAATTGCAAATCTGTGAGCCAATGTAAGCATGTCTTAATCTTACGCAGCACTGAAACTAAGAATTAACTAATTCAGAGGATGCTCTAATAAGACAAAACTGGCCCGAGAGGCAGGCGAACGACAGGAGTCTCAGAAGATGGTAGACCAGACAGAGATGGTGGTTCAGCAGAGTGATCCAGATAGAATCAATTGGCTGGACATGATGGTACACACCTGTAATCCCAGCATTCAGGAGGCTGAGTCAGAAGGAATGCTATGAGTTCAAGGCTGCCCGAGGCTGTGTACTGAGTTCAAGCCCATCCTGAATTATATAGAGACCCCTCCTCTCAAAAAAACAGAACAAAACAATCCTATGGGAGCCACCAAAATATACAGCTCTGACGCACAACCTGGTGACAAGGAACCAAAATATGAGGTTCAGTTTGTGCAGGTAAGTATACCAGGTGAGCAGGAGCACTGACGGCACACACAAATGTACCTTGCTGTGCCAGGATCATAGGCAGAGCATACAAACACTGGGGACACGACGTGACCACTATGCTCTCTAGGCAGGATGTCCAACTAAGCACACAGTTTGCAGTATCCCCGGGACTAGCAGCAGCTAGGGACAAGTGTCAGGTATCCTAGGCCCGAGTATGGACAATAGTGTCTCTGGTCCTGGCATCGCTCTCCACTTGTGCCCCTGTAGAGCTAGAGACCTCGATGCTTGAAAGCAGAAGGGCATATGGGCTGGTTTCCTGAAAATCCTCTGTGAGTAATGGGTAATACTGTACTTCCTGCAGGGAAACCAGGCCTGGGTCCCTGTGTGCTCTTGCTCTGGACTTCTGATGTCTCTACTCCCTGCCTTGGGCAGAAGTGGCAGCATTCCTGTCGTGGTAGAGGGAATAGATTCTCTGCAGGATTGGACACCTCACATTTGCTGCAGGTCGGTCCAGTTTCTGATGGCCCTGGTAGGGACACTGTGCCTCACTTGCCCCCACAAAGGTCTACAGACCCACAGCTGCACAGGCCTCTTGGGTGAACCCAGCAGTGTGTCTTGGGAAGTCTTCTGTGGACCTGGTCCTGTTTCTGCATTTGTAAGTATGCTGTAGGTCATTCTCTCTCGCTGCAGTAGCAGTATTCTGCATATGAGCCAGAAAACCATGTGCAGGAGGGCAGTACGTGCTGTGCAGCTGGGTGACCTTGTACCAGGATTGAGACAGCCTCTCAGCTTGCCCAGTACTCACACCCAGAAAGCACATGCCAGGCAAGGTTTGGCCCTGGCAGTGGGAGTGCCTATGGCTGCCTGGGCCCTGCCTCATGGGAGCAGGGACTGTGAGGCTTTCCCAGTGATGGCATCTGCCCTGGGATTAGCACTCTGTCTCTCCAAGCTGGGGCTTTCCAAGAGTCTCCCAAGTAAGGAAGACATGGGCATATCGAGTGACCTATGGGGCAGAGGCAACTCCTGGTCTCTGGGGGTCCGGCCAATAGCTCAGCCTCCAAAATTCAATGGCTTTGGTTTAGACTGACTTACCACGTTAGCAGGAGAGAAAAAACCTTGATGTGGGAATCTTCTACAAAAGGCGCCTGCCCTCCTCTGTACTTGTACCTCATTAACATGCTGCAGACATCACTGACGACTTAATAACATGAAACAGGCTGAATGCATGGCCTCAACTTGGGAAGCCCCGTGCTCAGTAAACAGAGTGAGGCTTCTTCAAGGCAGGCACACAGGCTGCATCCCAGCAGCCTCCGGTCATGCCCAACCTGCCTATTAGCATTCCCAGAAAGCGCCCATTTGTATTCAGACAATGGTCCTGTCCCCCTACCCCCACCAAAGCGAGAGCTGTGAGGGCAATGGGCATTTGTTGGCGCAGTTACCCTTTGTGCCCGCTCCAGTGGGAAGGCAGAGAGCATGTCCCAGTAGCGCATCGTGATGAGCCAAATCCCATGCCATCTGATGAGGACATACGGCGGTTGTTTCCCAGTGGAGGGGCACTCGGGCTTAGGCTTGACAAATAGTTGCCCAGCACAATCTCCACCAGGGAATAACCACAGCCCTTTCTGGAACACTGCCCACCCTTCTGCCAAGATGCAGTGGTGGGGACAATGAACAAAGACAGGACAACAGTCAGCTGTCCTGGAAAATACTGGAACTTGGTGGACCAGATCTTAGCACCTGTGAGTATAAGAGATCAGGAACAGGGCAGTCTGTCACACTCTGCAGTGGCCTAGATAGTTATACTGTATTTAAAAATGCCAATGAGATGGAATGTTTTGGTGGGTCCTGGAACATTCTAGACAGTCCCAGAACATCTTGGTGTTTCCGAGGCCCTGGGATCAAGTTTGAGAGGGTAAAAAAAAATGACACAGAAGTGACAAAAGAGCAGAGGGGAAGAGTATCAAGGCAGGGGACAGCTGTTGGATGCACACTGCTGGTTCTGAACCCCTTTCTGGAACACTGCCTGCCCTTCTTCCAAGATGGGAGCCTTCTGAGCCAGCTCCATCTTCCTGGAAGAGGATTAGTGTATGGACTATCTCCTCTCTGTTGCGCTGGGAGCTCTGGCTACATAGCATCCTGTGGCAGAGATTGGCTTCCAGGAGATGGAAGTACGAAACACTGATGTCTAGCCATTAATGGGATTCACCAAATGGAGACTTCCTACACTGAGGGAAAGCAAGAAAAGAGGTCTTTCCAAGTGGCATCTCCCTAGAGGGACATGCCCTAGAAAAATAGGGGAAGGACGGCTAGAATTCTGATGGGTAGATACCAGGCCAATGGAACTATCACACAGCCTTAGCATATTGGATGCCCATCAGGATGCCAACAGGTGGTTGAGGGGAAGTGGGCTCCTATACACTTGTGTGTCCTTGGCTTGACCTTCCAACCTCTCCCTCCTGAAGTAGAGAAATCTCCCTTGCTTCCTAGGGTGAGGCCTAGATTATTTCTTCCTGGGATTCCAAAAACAACCAAGTGCTCCACAAAACAGGTGCCTTTTTACTCCAGGGACCAAGCCATGAGATGGTGCTTTATGAAAATTCCTAAGACATCCCACAAGTGATGTGGCACCAGTAGTCAATAGACACAGCCACACATACTATCTGCAGGACACTGTTCTAAGAACCCCCAAGGACATCAAAACCATGGATGCTCAAGTCCCTTCTATAAAATGGCACAGTATTTACATATAACCTTTACACATCCTCACATAGAGATTAAATCATAATACCTGATACAATGTAAATGCAGGTAAATAATGGTTATACTGTATTATTTACAGAGAAATGACAAGAAAAGATCTTTATGTGTTCCACACAGATGCAATTTTCTTTTCTAATATTTTTGGTCTATATTCGATTGAACTGGTGGACATGGACCCCACAGATACCAAGGACAACTGTACTGTCTTTGCATAGAACACAGTCCCTACCACATGTCATCAGAGGAAGCAGTCCATGGTGTAATAAAAGGAGCCTTTGCATGAGATTATGGCTACCAATAGGCTTTAGTGTGTTTTCTCCTGGGAAAGTGCAGGTCACATGCCAGTCCTAGTGGAAGTCAAGATATTTCAAAGACCCATGCTGACCCCAGGAGAAAGAAAAAAGCCAGAACCATTCACATTTAGTTTAAAGACAGCTGCTAGAGAACTCAGCCATTCAGAATCAGAGTCTTCCAGAACTGGATCTCTTCTGCCACAGCCATCCCTTCTCAACTCTCAAGTTGAGAACTCTCAAGTTCTATGTTAGAACCCCAATGTTTGCCTTCTCCATCATGGCCAAAAACCTGAGGATCCTAGACTGGTACAGCTCACAGAGCCGCCTAAGACACAGCCCTGACTTACTAAATGATCCTCAGAATTGGGTGCTGCAATGACAGAAACCTTCTGCATGTTCCCAAAGTCTGTGTGGTGAGAGACTTCTTGCTCCTGCCCTGGTCCCTGACACAATCCAGGAGCACAGCAGAGACTTGCAGGATAGTTTAATGGGAGAGAAACTCTACAACCAGGACCTAGAACCCTGGGCACTACTGCTGTTTTGTTACTGGGTCCTATAGAGTGTGGTTCCTCCAAATATAATGTTTGGAGAACCTCATCCTTAGGAAAGACTCTTAGGGAAAGCAGCTAGAAGTTTCCATAAGTTTCTAGAAGGGTCCCCTGTCCATCCATCTGTCCTCCATTAGCAGAGATTCCAGTTCAAGAAGAATCCTCATTCTTGTACTCAGGTGACTGTATGTGGACTGTGGGGCCCTCGAGAAGTGTCAGGAGATGATTTGGTCCTGCCCCTCCCCACCGTGCCACACCAGAGAGGTTCCTTACCAGAGCTGTCATAGCCATCAACAGAGAAGTGGTCTGGCCTCCGCTCTTCTGGAGGATCACATGTGATGTGGGGGACTGTGAGCATCTTCTCTCCAGGGCTCACTCCATTATCCTTATCCGGTTTGAACTTCTTTTTCCTTACCTAAAAAAAGTCACATGATAAGTTGGCAGTTTGTGGGCACCCCTCTGCCAGGCCCTCTATTGGCCTTAAGGCACCCATAGCATCCCTGGCCTAACCTGTAGTATGTGCCTGCCAGAAAGCTTGGTTTGACCTGAGTTCTAGCAGCCTCAGAGATGGGCAGGCTCTGGTGGGCCCATGCTATGCTGGTGCTACCAGAGCCTCACAGTAGTGATGGGACAGTGGCAGCAGAGAATGTAAGGGTGAACAGACTGGAGGCAGCCAGGCCCTCTGAGATCAACTAGAGAAGGATGGGAGCAGGCTGTGTGGAAGTCAGGAAGAATGTTCTGGCAGAGAAAACAATAGATACAATGGCTCCAGAGCAGTAGAAGCTGTCTCTGAGGAAGGTGGGGGCTGGAACCAGCAAGGGAATAATCCCAAGCCTTCCCTCCTCACCCCAGCCAAACCATAAGACCCCTACCCAAAGCCTATGGGAACTTCCCCATTCTGTGACCTTGAGACCCTCTTCTTTGAGCTGGTGTCCCACCACTGTCTTCCACTGGCATCTGAAAAGCCCAACACTAAGGGCCTTCTAGCAACTGACCAGAATCCAGCATACCCTGTTCCTGGGGTAATTTCTCTGGCTCTCCCATACTCCTGGCCTTAGAGTGGCCAGGCCCACATGGCTCCAAGGGTAGGGACATTGGGATGGCAGGGACCCAGCCTTGGGTATATAGCCCCAGAATCCCGAATGGTGCTGGCACCCTGATGTGGACTATACCGCGCTGAAAGACTATAGTCAAAGGTACTGTGATACCCTGGCCATCATCTGTCGCCCATGGTCCCCTGCCTGCTAAAAGGCAGCCCATCCTGTTGTCAGGGGGAACTGGTTACCATTACCATAGCAGACTTCTTTGGTTTGGGGCTAGGAGAGAGCAGCGTGTGGCTTCGGGCAGGCTTCCGCACATAGATCTTCCAGGTAGAAGAGTCAGGGTTCTCAGCAGCATAGCATCTCCATGCAGTCTGAAATGGAGCAGGAGGAGGGAGACTGTCACTCACAGAACTATCCAAGGTCTCTTGAGAAAGCTGCAGCCCCCACCCCAACCCCAGGGACTGGCAGGACCCTCACTGCCACTTCCAGGCCTCTGTGCTGACAGCCAGGCTTGTGCCTTCCAGGCCCAGCTCCAGATGTCTACTGTTCACAGCTCAGGTGCCACAAAAGCCTCTGCCTGGGAGCCCTAGCCCCTTCCACTTGCTGAGCTCCTCCTATAGACCAGCCCTCAGTCAGACCCTGGACACACAAAGGTACACAAATCAGACACACATGCTGAGGGCAGGGCACAGGCAAAGACCTCTGAACAACAGGACCTTCTAGGTGGGAGAAGGGTGCTGAGGAGGGTCCATCTGGGGCCTGTGTGGGCACTGGGAGGAGTGTGGAGAGTGTTGAGGAGCTGATGGGGAAGAGACTAAGGGGTCACAAAGCAGGAGTCCTTCTGGGGCACTCCAGTGCCATTGTGCAGCTATGGGGTGTCTCTGATGCCCATAGGCGAAGCATTTAGTCTATAGTCCAGAGCAGTGGCGGAAAACCTATGTACACATGCCACAGTGGGCATGCAGAGCTTTCTCTGTGATGATGTCACAAGTTGTATGAGTTCTTTTTTCTGAAGTAAAACCTCAGTGTTCAAGTTTAATTGCAATGCTGGCACCTTGTGATAAATAAGAGAATTTTGGGTTGCAGTTTGGGCAGTTGGTCTCTAAAAGACTTGGCATCACTGGTCTAGAAGGACCCCACAGTGGTCACCACAGGGGATGACTCGGAGGAGGAGACACTTTGGCAGAAAAACAAGGGAAGCTGTGTAGCACCCAGGTGCGCAGGGCCCAGGGTTTCTTCTGAGGACACTGTGGTGGCCCTAGCCTTGCCAGTCCTGAGACCCTGAGGAAGAGAGACACACTGGTAGGACTCCTGGGTGCCATGCCATCCTTATGACGGATACCTGGCGCACATATGGCAGCCATCCTCACTCTCACCCAGTGATCTGGGCAACTGGGAGGCCCTCAAGGTCTACATGTCCTATGTACATGCTAAGCCACCTCTGCATCCCACCATGCAGACCAGCCTGTACCCCTCATCATGCACCCCTTCCTGTGTGCCCCGCAGCACTTATACCATCCACTATTGCCATCTCAGGCCCCAGAAAGCTCTCCCATTGTGACCACGGTTTCAGGAAGCCCCTTCTTTGCAGGATGTGCGACTCCCATGGACAAGGAATCATACGTGCCCTCTGCTGCGGACACTCTGTCACAGTGAGGGTTTTATAGGCCTGATTTATGGTTTCTCCGAAAGGAGACACTATGGGGCCATAAAGCCAGGCCTGAGAGGGAGCACACAGCCACGGCCCCTCAGCTTTATGGCGGCTGCTATTTCCTTCCTGCTCAGCCCTAAAGTCCAGGTCCCAGACCGTTGGTTCTGGAAGGGCTTCAGAGGAACAGGGTGGAGACTCAAGCTATGCCACAACCACAGAGCAATGGCCTCTGACAACCACCCACCCCTCACTGGGGCCCTGCCTGGGGCAGAGAGCTCTGGAAGGCAACCCCCACCTGCCTCAGCCTGTCTAGGCCCCAGATCTTGGTGTCCAGGGGGCTATTCTGTACAGCACAGCTACAACACTGTGAGGACAGTCATGTCTGTGCCTGGATACTGGCCCACTCAGCCTGCCAATGCCTGTGCCTCAAGCCCCTCTCCCAGCCCCTCCTTACCCCTGCCAGTAAAGAAGATTTACAGGCACATGGTTTTTGAATGGCTCCTGCACCCAATTTTCCACTGACATTAAAATGGCCTCCCAGCTCTCTGGTGTGTTACAGTGAGCCCTGGGCCACAGCAGCACAGGCCTGGTGTGCCTCCAGCTGCCTCCAAGGCTTCTCTTCCCCTGGCACCTTTAGGTTCTGCCTTCCCTGAATCATGGGTGGTCTGTGCCACCTCTCATTGGAAAACAACAGCCACTGCCCAAGCTAGGCCCTGCCCCTGGGGACAGTCACCTGGGCCCCGTTACTTCCTCCCTCCAAGACTCCACCCTGTGCTGAGCCGGGGAGAGTTTCGAAGGAGACACAACAGGGGACGAGGAGCTGGAACCCCAAGCTGCCAGGAGGTTACGGGGCCTATAAGCTGACCATACCAGATCCTGGAGTGGCCACTGTCACACCTTGTCCCAGGCCCACAGGTAGTTTTGACAGGAGTTGTCATGAAAGAAAACAGATAGATAGATGCTCCCATACCCATTGGGTACCCTAAAAACAAATACTTCCCCAAGTGGGGCGCCTGTGCCATGGAAAGGGCACACAGCACAAAGACCTTGCATCCCACCGGCTGAGTCAGTGCAGAGGCTGAGGATGATTCCAACTCCTGGATGGACACAAGGGCTGGATGTGACAGTAACGATGATGATGGGAGGTGGCCAAGGCTGAGCATGCAAGGCACACCTGGATGAGTGACGCAGCGGCTGGGATCTGTCGGTTGAAGTGCTTCTGCCTCTGCTTCTGCTGGACTTTCAGGGCAAACCCAGAGCCAAGGATCCCCTGGGAGGGACAGAAATGAGGCTCACCACCATGCAGGCTGCAATGGCCAGCACCCAGCTGCAGGACAAGGATGTGGGGGATGTGGCAAGCTCAGACATTACTTCTAAGAAGCCAGACCTGCCCAAGGCAGGAGGTGCTGGTCTGCCTGCCTGTTTAGAGGGCAGAGCTCACATCTGGGGCCTCCAGCAAGGGCCTGAGCCACCCCAGGGACCAGTCGTGAGAGCAAAGTGGGTGAGCCCATATGCAAATGTCAGAGCAGGGACTACCCCTGAGATCGGGCTGGACATCAGAAGCAGCCTGAGGTGAGGCGGCTGCTGCTGTCACCACACAGATGTACCATACAGGTGCAGCATTGAGGGTACTCTGTATCCAGGGACGGAGCATGCCCCCACCTGCGTGACACATACAAACCAGTATCAAACCTATGCCATGCGAGACACATACATGTGAGATACACATCAATGCATGCAACATGTCTACGCAAACATGTGTATAGATACACACATTAGACAATTCCTGTATACATGCATGATGTAAATGTGTGTACATATAAATAACACAACACATATACATACCCAATATATATATGCATGTCCATATGCAAATGCATGCACGCACTTGTGCACATATTACACACAACATATACACATGCTACACAAACAATGCACATATAGACCCATGCATACATATACACTTGGTGTACACACACATACAACATATATGCAGTATACATACACAACATGTACCACCTGCACACACACATTGCACATACACACATTGCACATACACACATGTACTTGCACACTTGAATATGCTCCTGCCCTCGGTCTGTGACTTCCGGAAGGGGCAGGAAACAGATACTCCTGGCTGTGGTGCAGGATACCCACTCCCCTACCAGGCACAGTTCCACTCTGTGTAACATGGTGGCCACACTGGGCACCGCCCTTGCCTGTACCACAGAGCCAAGCCAGGCTGCCTCCCACCTTGTTACAAGGGACCCTGGGGATTGGCAGCAGGAGAGGGCTGTGTCCCAGGCTCAGTGGCAGGTGGGCTCTGGAGAACAGTGTCTTTCTGAAGACCAGTCCATCTTTGCTCTCAGTGAGAATCTCTTCACTGGGCAGGACCTGCTGCCCAGGACCCCAGTCTGCTGGAAAGCAGGGGAGATGACCCCTCTGGGCACCTACCGCTGGGAGCGCGAAGAAGGAGATGGCAAAGACAGAGAAGCAGGAGGCAATCGTCTTCCCAACCCAGGTCTGGGGGACCTTGTCGCCGTAACCGATGGTGGTGACTGTGACCTGTGAGGAGGAGAGAGAGCAGTGAGCCAGCCTAGAACTGCAAGAGGGCACCTTCTTGGCCCCTACACCCCCTGAAGACAGCCACCAAGAGTCTCAACCACCAGGACAACTACTCGCCTTCAGCTGCTGTGCAGTTCAGCTGAACAATCAGGAGAGCACATTGGAAGGCTTGAGGACCCAGATCCTGACCCCCACACTCAGCACAGCCCACTAGGGTCAAGAAGAAAGAGCTTGGTGTGTTCGGACAGGGCACTTAGGCCACAGAGCCCACCCACAGGAGGAGAGCCCTATCTGTCCCACTGCCTGGCCCTATCCCCCAGAAGCCTGCCCCCCTCTCCCGGCCACCAGCATCGTTACACACGACCCCCAGGAGGCCACGAGCTCCCACCGAGGCCGGCTGGCCACAAAGAGCTGGGATGGGATGACATGCCACTTCCTGCCACCACCCCAGGGCTCCAGATGTTTCATTTTTCTCTCTTCTGAGAGAACAAGACAAGGCTCTTGCCTTTTTCTTGATGGGAGAGCTGTCTGTCCAGGGCGTGTGGCAGGACAATAGGAGCAAGGGGCTGCTCCCCATCCCAGCTGGCTCCCCCACTGGCATCTGAGGTTTGCTCCTGGGATAGTGAGGCAGAACATGCAGTCCTATGGGGACTCAGGAGCCCACCCTGGCCGTGGCCAACTACCAGGTTGCACCTGAGTCTGCCTAAGCAGCTGTGGCTGGACCTTAAGGACAAGCCCTGAGCCTGGCTCCAATACCTGGCTCCAAGGCTGACTCATGCCGTGGAAACCTTCTCACTCAGGCAGCAAGACAGTCTGCATGGTGTCCCTGCTGCTGCCGCAGCTGGAACCTGCTGCCTATAGTCTTGCTCTGCATGGTGTCCCTGCTGCTGCCGCAGCTGGAACCTGCTGCCTATAGTCTTGCTCTGCATGGCCCACTCAGAGCAGCCCAGCTTATATCCTCCAAGGCCAAGGAACAACTATGCCACCAGCCCCAGGAAGGCCTTCTTGGTTGAGAATTGTGCAGAGGCCTCTATCTGAGCCCCAGTCTACTAGACCAGGGAGAATGGCAGGGGCCCAGAGAAGGACTATGACACTGCAGCAGTGATTGCTGGTCACATCAACCTGCAGGGAGGCCCTGGCCTTGGGCTGCCCTGGTGCTTTCTGAGCAGAGGCAGCAGGGCCAGAGCCAGGCAGAGACACACACATAGATGCATGAACAGAGACAGGTGTCCACAGCATATATAGCTGCTCAAAGCTACCGGAGCAGGAAGACCAGAAGAAAACAGGTAGTAGAAGGGACATGTCACAGGGAACCAGTTATACCCAAGGCACCAGAAGATTTCAGTTGTAGCCAGGCAACATGATAGCACTTACCCCTGCTGAGCCCCAGCCACCCTGAGCCCCACTCCACTGGTGCCACACCAGGTATTCTGCAGCTGCCCTGCAGTATCACTCCCGCTGTGTCACCATCCTTAAAACACACACATGTCCTGCACATCAGCAGAGTACACAGGAGCTGCTTACTGTCAGTCCTTTTAAATGGACCACCCGGCTTCGTGTGCATGAACACACACAAGTGCTGCACACTCCAGGGACACCCACACACACATGCTGAAACACACAAGGGCCTGATGTGCTGTGGCAACACGGCAGCACGTGCATACAAGGCAAGGGCTGCACTCACGTGTGAGCTGCCACACTCAGGGCACACTTGGGCCCAGATACCTTGTCCTACCATGCAGACCACCCCCATCTCTGAACAGACACACTTGCAGGCCAGACCTAGGCCACCTCAAGGGCAGGGGCCCTGGTGGGGACAATAAGGGGTCTGTACCCCACATGTGAGGGCTGGGCCACAGCTGCCGTCACTAGGGCTCCGGCTCGTGCAGAGCCATGCATGGGACACTGGATATAGTGGAGCTGGGCAGGGCAGCAAGACAGCATTGCCTCTCCTGGGAGACCGCCCTCAAGGCAGTGCTGACTCCCAGGACAGGCAATGCCACAGCCCAAAGGATTTGGCAGGACAGGGCCTAGAATATTTGCTCATCTACCCAGAGAACATTTCCTGGACCCTGGAAAAATCGAAAAAGGAGGCTCAGAAATCAGCCTGGAAGGGCCTGATCCAACAGGGACCCTGGCTCACCCAGCCTTGAGCCTGACTAGCTCTGGCAGCCCAGACAGTTGAGAAGAGTAGACTCCTGCATCTGTTCTAACTTAAACATCTCAGAAGACCAGTCACTTGCCCTGTTAGTGTGAACATAGTTTCCATTAGTTTATCCAACAACCTCCTACTCATTCCTTGAAGCCCTGCTAAAGACCTGGGTAGCCTCTGCTACCTGTCCGAGGCTGTGTTCAGTCCTTACACCTCTGGTGGTGGGCTCACACAGCACTTCCTGTTCTGATGGCCTTGCCACATATGTGCTGGAGATGCCCTTCAGAACAGGACAAAGTCCCACTTGGCTGGGCAGATTCTCCTGTATCAGGTCATGGAAGATGAGGCCGGGAGACAGACTGCGATGCAGTGGTGGTGGTAAGCACCCGAGAGTGGGCGGAATAGGAGGGCTGTACCCTGCAGTCACTGAGAAAGTGTGGGTGGACACTCGGCCTGGGGCTGTGTGGTGGATGGCACTATTACGTTCTCAAAGTGAGCCTGGGGGCCTCTTTGTGTCCCGAGCCCCCAGAGAACCCACAGGTCAGGACCAACCTCAGGCTGGCTCCGCTCTGTCCCAGCACGTGGTATGGGCTACAGCTGTGGTGACAGAAATGCTGGTATGAAGACCCAGTATCTCTAGCCAGATTCATGGAGATTCGCCCATAAATGCATCCTATTCTTCCAGTATTATTTTTTGTTTTAGAATATATAGTAGCTTATCATAAAATTATCTTACATAAAACAGTTCTATTATTATATCAATAAATATGGAAGCATTTAACAGTTTCTCAGTTTCATTAACTATTAATAGATATAACCCAAACGAACAACATCCCACATGAAGATATGAAGAGGAGGCAGCTATGGTGGTGCATGCATGTAATCTCAGTACCCTGGCATGCATGCAAAGCAGGCATCAGCATCTGCAGATCGGTGCTGGCACTGTGAGACCTGGGTGCAAGGGTTACCAGCAAACTCAAGCACTGACGTACTAACTCAGGCTCGGTGCATTGGTAAACTTTTTCTTTTTTAAATAACAATAACAGCTTTCAATTTTCTAGAAAGGTTTTAAATTATTCGGTGAAGTTGTAACATGTTTTTGATCTTTAAAAGTTAATGCTAACATAAGATCTCTGATGAAGGGGAAAGGAGAGGTCAGGAAGCGCAAAGAGCCCTGGTGGGATGGGGCAGGTGTGCAGGAGGCGGTCATTATGCCAGCCAGGCGTGGAGGCCCAAGACCCCCTCTCCCACCCACTTCTCGGCTCCTGGACTAAGCTGGTGGTCATATCAGCCAAGGCCCAGCAAGAGTAGGTGACCGAGTAACTGCCCAGCACCCACTCCTCTTCCCAAGCCCCTCACCCCTCCTTGTCTACTGAATGGGGTCCTCCATCCTCCCCAGGAAATGGTCCATCCGGCAGAGCTGTTTGCTGTTCCTGGACTCACAGACGCAAGCAGCTCAGGAATGGACTGTTTTATAGCCCTGGTGCCTGGAACTTATCCTCACAGCTGGCCATGGGGAAGGCGGATCTGCACGTCTCCCGGGCAGATGGACCGAGGAGGCAGGGAAGGCACATGGGCTGCTCGTGCTCGGGCCCACAGACATGCCACATAATGACAGGACCCATAGGGCAGGCAACCATGGGAACAAGCTCTGGTCGCTGGGGCTGGTGGGCAGGGGCGTGTCCTCTACCCTCCCGCTGCCTACTGCTCTGTGGCTTCATGCCCTTGTTGGGGACACAGGAAGCTTCCAGCTGTACCCCATTCTGTTTGGAGAACCCACACTGGTGGTATTTTATTCCCTGCTTTTTGAGGTAGCCTTTGAAAACTGGCCTCCAAGAGAGGATGAGGGCCAGTCTAGAAACCCACCTGTGGCCGCACCTGGGTCCCTCAGCTTTCTGTGTATTTACTCACTGAATTTCCTGGCAAGCCATGGAAGTTGGTCCATGTCATGTTCTCATTTCACAGATGGACCCAGACAGGTTGGACAAGCCGTTCAGTCCCATGCAGCAGGCACATGGTGAAGGGGGATGTGAGCGCAGCTCCACATCTAGTTCCACCCCACCTCCTGTCCCACTGTTTCCTGACACTGTCTCTGGAAAGGTCTGGGGCCTGAGATTCCCACAAGCTAATCCCCACTGGCCTGAGCTGAACCCCATCCCCCAAGAGGAAATTATTCCTAGATATCACCTTCATGGGGCCTGGCCAAGTCTGTGTAATCAATCCCTGAGGAGATGGCTAAGGGGCAGTAAGAACAGAAAGATGGATAAACCTTGTGGACTCCTATTCATCCTATAAAACCCAAGTGTAAAGACCTCTCCTCATGGCAGGGGTCCTCTGGCCTCTGGACTCTTACTGTACATTTAGGTATCACAAGGAGTTCTGGGCAGAAGAAGAGCCCTGGTTTGGGTGGGACTGTGTGCTGCCACCCTTGCTTTAGCTTCTCCAATATCCAAGGAGATCCTGACACTGAGCTCTCCCACTAGAAGCTGCTCAGCCTCTTCAGCCTCTACAGGAGTCCCAGGGGCTCCCTGGCCTTACTCTGCCAGGACACAGCACAGTCTGGGAGGTGGGAACTTTCCAGAGCCTCCAGGTGAGGAACGGCCGTCAGATTCTGTTTTAAAAGGGGCTGAAATACAGGGGCGGGGTTCCGGCCTTTCCACTCTAAATTCTAAATTTAGATGCACGGGGTAAACAGAGCCCAGCAGCCGCCTGGTTTAGAGACCCCCAGGCACTAAACAGAGGAGCCCGTGTTTGCAAAAAATGCTTTCCCTCCACTCAAACTTTTAACACAAACAAACGCGTTTTGTATCAAAGGCAAAGAAAAAAAGTCTTGAAATGCTCCCCAAACACCTCAGCCACACTCGGGCTCCACACTCCAAGGATCTAAGAGCCCTCACATCCAAGTGGGAGTCCCTGCCCAAGAAGAGGACCAGAGGGGACACTCAGACATAGATCCAGCACTTTGTTGGGCAACTGTGGAAACTGAGGTCCAGTGAGTGGACAGCACATTCCCTGAAGTCCACTGGGATGCCCATTGTCCTGGTCAAATCATATCCACCCCTTTCTCAGAAAGGATCTTATTCCGAAAGAGGTCTTCAAAGATGTGACTGAGGATATGGAGACAGGGTCAGCTGGATGATCTGGAAAGGCGCTAAACTCAGTGATGCCATCCTCAGAAGAGACAAAAAAGATCACAAACAAGGCGTGTGGCAGGATAGGCCAAAGGCCACCTGAAACTTTAAAAGATATGGAAGGCCAGCTGGGAGCTCTCAAAAGGAGTCTGGCCCTACCTACACCTCCATTTCATGCTTCTAGCCCCTAGAACTGTCATAAATGTCTACTGTTGAAAACACAATATTGTGTGACTTTGTATGGCAGCTACAGGGGGAATAATCCACCCACCATCCCCAAAACCATGGGACAGGATTTTCTGCAGGCAAATCAACTGATTCTTTCCTTCACTCAACAAACCCAGTGGCTGCCAGTGGCCTCTGAGTCCTGGGTCTGTCTTAGGTATGCACTCAACCCCCAACCAGACAACCACTCCTCAGTTGTGAAAGAGGATTCCAGAATCCAGGCAAGGCCTGGCACAGTTGGTTGTAATGAGAACAGAACGGCCAGGTCCCCAGGAGTTGTCCCACCTAGAGTGCCCTATAGCAACTCCCAACATCGAGATTTCCTAACACACTCCATTCTCTGTCTGTCCGGATGGGGACTCTGGGGGGCAAGGCCATGTGGAGGGGGCCTTAGGGAAGGAGAAGGAAGCCAGAACAATAGAGACTGAGAGGGGCCAACTGTCCAGGGCTCAGCTGTGGGTTGGCACACAGACTGAAAAGCCCCCAATCAGGGCTGCCCCTGCCTGCATTTCTCAAGTTCTGTTTGTCCGAGAAGTGCCAGGAACACAGCCCATAACTCAAGCTTTGGGGGCCGCTCCCACCGGACAGCTGCAGGGGCAGCCGCAGTGATGAATGGAAGCTGTTTGCCCCCTAGGCCAAGTGGCGGGGGGCCCTGGGCAGGCAAAGCGCAGGGCCTGATGGGAACAATGGCCAGGCCAGGGTGCGCAGTGGCCGAGGCGCAGGCTGCAGCTGACAGCGCAGCCGGGGCACCGGTGCCAAGCTGGGCACAAAGGGGCCGTGTTCCCGGCCGGCGGGCGGATGTTTGCACAGGTGTGGGAGTAGAGCGCCGCTCTGCCGCGGGCTGAGGCCAGCGAGCAGCCTCAGCAGGCAGCCGGGAAGACAGGCAGGGCAGCGCCAGGGCTGGGTACTGCTTATCAGCCATGCTGCAGGCTGTCACCTACTCACTTCCTGCAGCCCCTTAGCCCTACACTCCCCCACCCCCATTCTCTTGTCCCCCCACGAAAGCCCTACCAATTTCTCAGGAGGTCTCTCCCCATCCACTGCAGGCAAGTTCCCTGCCTGCTGGGGGCTGAGCCCTCCCACCCAGACCTGCACAGACCTGCCCACCAGGGCCTTCAGTGACACAGGCCCCCAGGAGGGCAGGGAGAGACCAAGTCTGGGGCTGCCCAACATGGGAGCTGTGTCAGCATGTCTGTACCTTCCCTGAGCAGCCTGGCACAATGGAAGCTTCTAGAAGACATACCGACTTGGCCAGCATCAGACGAATCTACTGCATGCTTGGCCTTGTGGGGACACAGTAGTACTAGGACCATGTGTCTGTTCTACTTTGTATCTGTGCTACTTTGTACCCCTCAAGTTCTGTGACTTCTCTGTTGCTGGAAGCTGAGGGCGCTGAGCAAGGCCTTCTTTACTGGATGGAGCACTGAGAGACACACAGGCCAAGCCTGATGCAGTGTCACCTCCACCACTACTCACCTCACTCTGTGTTCATGGAGCTGGCACTATCCCTAGGGCAGGGCACCCACCTCCCCCAGGCTGCAGGCTTTCCTCTCCCCAGCCCCAGCCCGTTCCCACAGCTGCCACTGCCCTTCCTTCGTTCAGGCTTCAGGAGCCTGGAGGATAGAAGATACCATGTGCAATTGCCTGCAAATAGCCAGGAGGCCAGCTGGGGTCTGTTCTGGGGCCCACACATCCCACCCATGCCCTTCTAGTCCTGGCAGCCCTGTAAGGGTGATGGCATCTCTCTGGCCTTGGTTCCTACACAGTCCATTGCCCCTGCCACTCAGGAGGAATGGCATGGAAATGGATAGAATCAGCACTTGCCCCCCATTTGTGAGGCACCCTGTTCTTGTAGAAGCTGCCCTGAAGTTCAGTGTCCTGATGAAGTCAAGGTCTCTATAGGAGATATGAGACTACGGGGCTGTCACTCATTTCTGGAAGGACAATGGCAGCCTGGACCCTCCTTAAAACATTTTGGCTAGCAACTTCCAGTGCTGTAAAAGCCTGTGTCCAGACCACCCACCTGTGACCCAGGACCCCGGAGCTTGGGCTCAGCAGGCAGGTCTTCACTAGGACCCCTACACAGTGACTCCAGAGAAAGGGTCCAGTTGGCAGCAGAAACCCACCGACTCCATGTAGCATGGCCTTGCTATGGGACATATGGAGTTCACATACTGCTCTCCTGATAGCCTTGGGGCCTCGAGCTACCCAAGCCCAGGCTCCCAGCTGTCCAGGGGCTGGAGCCCATCCTCACAGCCAAAATGGCCTCAGGACCCCACTGGTACCCACAGTGCCACAGCCCAAGGTGGCAAGAGAACCTGAGGGCCCTGTCTGGGAAGCATGGATCTCTGCATCTCTCCTCAGATCTCTCCACCTGTCCAGTTAGCTTTATAACTCACTCCTCAAACACAGGGACACTCACAGAGCCAAGACAGACCCCAGAGACACCAAGGCACATGCCTGACCCCAGCTACCCCACACTTGTATCTAGAATCTTGTTAAGTAAAGGACAACAGGGTAGCTAAAACCTCAAGCCCTGCTCCCCCTTCCAATCCTACTCAGCTTCCCTTCCAAAACACAAGTTCCAAGTCAAAAGTGCTAACACTTCCGCAGGGGCCCCAGAGCTCTTAGCATGAATGGAACATGGGGTGCTATTGGCTTCAAGAATTAATCTTACAAAGAGTTTTAACCTTTGTTTGAGAAGCCCCGCCCGGGAGGTATCAAATTTTGAGAAACCAGAGCCCAATGCCTACTCTGCCTCTCCCCAGGGCCATGTGGCCCCAGCCCAGGACCCTTGGCCCCAGAGGCCCCAACTTACCACCCCCCACCACAGTGCATCTGCATAGCTTCCGAACTCCACACGGCCTGATTCATTCACAGCATCCTTCTCAGCCAGGTACACGAAGTAGGAGGAGAAGATGAGTCCCAGGAAGCCGATATACAAAGTGGTGATCAGCTCCTAGCCAATGGACAAAAGGACATCAGCTCATGGAACCCCCACAGATAGGGAAGAAACTCACCAGGTCAACATCAAAGATAGCGAGGGGACAGTCTTGGCATTGAGTTCTAGTATTTACCAGCTCATTCTACAGCTACTCAGGTATATTTCATATGCACAGGTCAGGGTCCCCAAAAGCTATTTTTTCACGACTTTGCTAAATGGTGGGTATGGGGCTCTCACCACCAGAGTGAGGCTGGCTCTAGCTATTATCCAAGACTGACCACCAGGCCTTGCAAAGCCTCTGCTGACCAATGGCTCAATCTCCTGCAATGGGATAGAACCAAGAGTTGGCTACTACCCAGGAGAACCTCAGGGCAATGAAAGGACCTTGTATAATCTGACCTGGGCAGGAGCAGCTGAGTCTGTGGTTCTCAGCCTTTAGGATGTGCTGGGTTCTCCTTGATCTCCTGGCTTTAGATTTCTGAGCCTCACAGACTTTTGTTCCATCTTACGTTTTTGTCTTTTCATTTACCCCATTTTCCTTTGTCCCAGGCTGAAGGAAGGTGGCATCATTTTAGCAGGTGAAGAGGCTAGCACCATAGCTGTGAGGTGAAGTGCTCCTGAGGTTAGACCTGGGATTCTACCTGGGATTCTGGGCCCCATTCATACACCCACATACCCTGGCATTTGCTTGATCCTTGGCCACTCAGCTGGGGTGCAGGGTGCAAAGATTCTACACTCACACTCAGGTAAGGCTAGCTATGTGCCCCACCATGCTCCCTGAACCCCCACCCAGGCCACAAACCTGGCGATGGATGAAGACCACAGAGCCCAGAAGCCTCCAGGTACCTCCCTGCCGGTCCACATGTAGCATCCGCAAGATCTGGAGGAAGCGGATGCCCCTGGGAAGGAGACAGAGCAAGGATAGGAGGACCAGGCCAGTCTCAGCCATTTGCCCCTGAGACCAAGGGACAGTGAATGGGATGGCATCCCTGCCTTCACCCTGCATAAGGGAGACACGTGCATGTCCATCATGCCTGGGATGGCTCGCCTCCATCTCTGCCCTCCTTGACCCTCCCTTGGTCAGGTTCTCTGTCCTCCCACCCAGGGCAGCCTTTTAAAGTGAGCTCTGATGTCACTTGCTGGCCACAGGATCAGGCTGGGGGCAGCTGCACCTCTTCACATTCCTGTGGTCCTCACACTGCCTACTGAGGGAGCCTGGGTAAGAAAACCATGTATCCAAATTGGTTGCCACCCAGGTCCCAGAAGCTAGGAAGTGCTGTGATAGATCCCAGACCTAGGGCTACCTAAAACATCAAGGGCCTGACCACAGCTGTCCCAGTGTACTACCTGTGATGGTGTGGGGGAGAAGTGAGCATACCAGAACAGGTGGGTGGAAGGCGAGACCACCTGTTACTTGGCATGATAGAGCTTGGTGACAGGCCACAGAGGTTGACCCTACAGAGAGATGGCCAGCCAGCAGGGAGCTTGGCACTCTGACTTACCTGATGGCTGATGTGGCAAACACTTGCCCCTTTGAGCCCACACAGAGGACAACCATGGAGGCCACAACCACGATGAGGTCTGCGGGGAAGGAACAGTGAGTTATGACCTCCAGCAGCTGGGCCAGAGGGACTGCACCCCCACCTAGCCCTGGGGTGGAGGCTTGCCATGTTAGAGAGGCAGGGCTCTACAAGAAGGACCCAGGCGACGCCATCTAGGTGGGGAGTCAGGCAGGCCTAGGCCTCCACACATACAGTCGTCTCACCCAGCCAGAGCGGGGCTTTGAATCTCAGCCATCATGGGCAACTGAGGCCACCCCTTGCTGGCTGTGTGGTCGTGGCCTGTTGTGGAGTAGGCAGAATGGGGGTAGGCTCTTGGTCACTGGAGGACATACTCTGGTGGTAGTCATGATGTGGGGGGCCTTCCTGGTCTAGAGATTGGCGGAGTGTTCTGTGGGACAGATGGGACTCACCGATGATGGAAATGGGCTTCCGGGCAAAACGCAGTCGGCCCCAGATGCCCACATACTTGCTGCGGCAGCCTGCAGACCAGAGGCGGACCACGTACTCTGTCCCAAAGAACACCACCAGGACAATCTCCTGTGGAAGGAGGCAGATGAGTTATCCCCAGGCTGCGACTCATTCAGCCAGACTCAGGCCCCAGCGGTGAGGTGTAATTCGATTACTGACAGTCTTGAGGCCTATGTAGCTGACTGCAAATGCTACAGTGACAAAAGGCTACAGCAGCAGTCACCCAAGGCCTGGAGACAACAGCAGGAGGTGAGGGTACTGGTTGGGGCCTCATCCCTGACTGGCACCCTGGGGAAAAGTGGCCAATGCTTTACCTCCAGATGGGCCTTAGGGACCTATCACACAAACCTACCTGGAGGGGAAAGCAATGACTTGCCTGCAGTAGGGTGGCCAGTGGCCGCAGGGCCTAGGCTCACCATGCCATTTGAGCAAGCTAGGTTCAGTCGTGGCCCCATCTCAGGAAACTGGGGGGCCCTAAGTGAGAAGCCCTTCCCACCTGCTCCATCCAGGGTAGCTTGGGGCTGGCCCTCAGGCCTCGTCTGCTATATAGGTGGCCCCTCGGCCACCTCACCTTTACTGGGATCCTATGTGGCTAGTACTGCAGTACCATACCCCCTCTAACCCCAAGCCAGAAGGCAGCAGCTTCTAGAAGGATAGAAGTGTAGGCTGATAACCCGAAGAGCTGAATCCCACACCCTGGGCATGGATTTGGGAACTCTGGCCTCAATTTCCCCAGCTGTAACACCTGGACAACAGCAGCAGCCACCTTAGTGGATGATGGTGAGGATTCAGTGCACAAATCCATAGCCCACTGTGACACTCCAAGCATGCAGCTGCCTGGGACCCACATGCCCAGCTCCTGGCCAGCCTTGGCATGCAGAAGGCCCTCAGGGGAGGCTGGGGTTAGGTGGCTAAACCAACCCCCACATGTGGAAAAGGTCTATGCAAAGCCACAAAGCCATGAAGCCACAGTACATTTTACTCTCAGGCCTGCTTTCAGCTGGCTCCCTGCCTGTCCTCCTTTGGGAGCCTGGCCTAGAAGGGACTTCTGGTCCAATGGGTGGCACTGCCTGGCCCTGACCCCCACCAGTTCCCTGCCAGGGAGTCCACAATGAGAGGGTGGCTAAATACCACCATTGCTGGCTCCCAAATGCTATTAATTAGGACAACTTCCAGCTTGTGTTTGAAGCAAGCTTGGTGGATAATGGGAGAAAAGTGGGAAAGTTTAGTTCCTCTTGCAAAGATGTTTAGTTCCTTTGCAAGATGGGAGTGGAATGTGTGTGATGGTTACACAAGGACAGTGAGGGGTCCCAGCACCCACAGGCTCTGTGGCCTCCTTGGGGATAACGGGCTTTGGCTAAGCCCACCAGTGGGAGGCCATGGTGGTCTTGTCCACTCCATTCTCAACCCTAAGAATACTGCCTACCCTAGTTGACATTTAGTATGGATTTGTGGAAAGAAGGGAGGGAGAGTGGAAGAGAGGGAGGATGGAGAAAGGAACAAGCAAGTAAGTCTCGAGCTGTCCAATAATAGAGACTTTGGTTCATCTTTGTTTCCCAAAATGCTGGCCTGGCAGGAATGCCGAGCCATGGTACCACGTGTGTCTCTGGCCAACACGAAGCCCAAGCTCTGTCCTCGCTGCTGAGCCACAGGTGCCCATGACTCTTCTAGTGGAGTTGGGGTGGGATGGCTCACCTGACCACTGGTGGTCCTGATGGGGAACAGTAGCACCCCAAAGGCAGCAGGCTTTCTTCCCTGCTCTAAGGGCCCATATATGACTGGTGAATGGATTACTCAGCAGGCCTGTCTTATTTTGAAATACTTGTGTTTATCATTCACTTTTTCTAGTTGCATTTCAAAGCACTGCTAAGCAGGTCTTAAAAAACACCTTGATATAAATAGCCAGCAGGCATAGCTTTTGGTAGCTACAGGTCTCTCAGATGACCCTGGTCTAACATTCAGGGAGCACCTATTTGAGGGGCAGTTTCAGAGACAGAGGAACATGACTCTGGAGGGGTGAGGTGGGAAGAATACTTTAAAATCACAGGGGTCCCCCAGTCCTGTCTGTCTTGAGGACACAATGTGAGGCCCACCTGCAAAGGGCTTGATCACTGGTCCAGTGTAGGTGGGGCCAAGTTAATCAGTGTGGAGCTGCTGGCCAGCAAGGATGGAACTGAGGAAAATGGTCACATCCCAGACCAGACACTTTGGGAAAGACCCAAAGTTTATTCAGAGATAAAACCATCTCCAGCTTGATCAGCCTCACACACAGGGCAGGGCTTGGAGGGATGACACACAGGACTAAGGCCACTCTGGGGCCCTAGGGTGCTGGCACTCAGCAAGGATGGGGCCTGCAGAAGAGCTGACCCCAAGGCACATGATAGCCACCCTGATTCAGGACCAATACCCCCGGATCCAAAGCAGAGACACCTTTGCCCAGTTCTGGCCAGGTGATGCCAGCCCAGGCTCTTCAGTCCAGTCTAGGGCAAACCAACTTCCCTCCTCCTTGGCAAAGACCTGAAGCTCATCTCTCTTTCATTATCTGGATCAGAGACATGGTGCCCAAGAATGGAGTGTGATCTATGCTCTGCTCCACAGATACAAGGAGAGACAGTCTGGGGCCAAGGAACCTGAGCTTGTCATTGAGACCACAGCAAGACCAAAGGGACAGAGGCCACTTCTTCCCTGGCCACTGTCCCTCGGATCAAAGCAATGCCATCTTCTGTCAGTGGGGCCTTCATGGAGATCCCGAGACAGGTATGCACACCAAGCATCAACCCTGCAGCTCTTCACTGACCTCTGCACAGCAGGGCCAGTGATGGTTATTCCCTTCAGGATGGGAGGACAGCCCAGCTAGGGGTGAATGGTTCATCCTAACATCCTGTTAGAACAGGAAGGGATGGAGACCATGGCAGGGGCTCAGACAAGATGAAGCACAGATGTCCTCAGGTTTGAGAGTAGACACAGGAAGATGAGGCCATCCCCACCATGGAGGGCTGACTGCTGCTACACAGCATTACTAGCATTGCATGGGGACTCTGGGTCTCTAGGAGTAGAGCTTGTGACTGTGGGGAAGGCCACGGCTTCGGGGAAGACCCCGAGGTATGAGAAGAAGGGACCTGGGAGTGAGGGTGATCTACAGAGACCGAGAGTCACCAGTATGCCCGGGGCGGGGCAGGTCAGGGAGGTGCCCTGGGTCCCCTGGAATAAAATGGGAAGAAGGGCCTGGGCCACATGGAGTAATGAGAACCACCTGCCACCCTAATAGTCATCTAACACGATGACAGGCACAGGGATGGTGCCCAGGCAGTGTAGGCCAGAGCAGGATACGAGCTGAGCCCATAGGCAAAGGATGTGAGCCCCTGGCACCCACGTCCTCCTGTCTCCAGATTCATGTCATTCCTCAGGCTGAGCTTTGTGATCACCTGCTGGGTTTCCTGAGACGGTGTGGGAGTAGACGGTTCTGGGGTTCATCCACCGAAGACCCTCTACAAACTGCGATTCTCTCACACACTAGCCCTGGCTCACACATTAGCTCCATCTCCTAAAGCCTAGGTCCAGATCTGGGCTGGACTCTCCTGTCTTACACCTGGCAACTTTTGAATGCTGACTCTTTGTGGAACTTAAAAATTATTTTTAAAAACAAAGCTCCTAACAACCCAATGAAAAACAAACAAAGAAAAAGCAAAGGATCAAAATAGACATTTTTCTAAGGAGGCTGAACCAAGGGCCAGAAGATACCCTGCATCCTGAATCATTGGAAATACACATCAAATTCTCGGTGAGACGCCATCTCACATGCAGCCCATCATGAGCAAAATGGAGGGAAAACACTGAGCACTGATGGGGTGGGCACAGACCTGTCATCAAACATTGCAGATGGGGCGTGGAAAAGGGCATAGCCACTTTCTGTGGAAAACTCTAGAGAGCCCTCAACATGATTGTGAAATTACCATCCACTCAATTCTGCTGCAAACCTAGAACTGCTTCCAAAAAAAGTCTTTAAAAAAAACCCACAAAAAGACAAAATTATTGTACAACTCAACAACTCCACTTCTGAGTTTACACCCAAAAGAACTGAAGGCAGGGACTTAACAAGAACTGAGTGTAGCCTGTTCCCCATGACTGCTTTGTTCACAGGAGCCAAAAGGTGTTATGTGCAGAAAGATGAGAAAAGAATAAGACATGGTCCATCTGCATCCTGGAACAGCAGCAGCCTTAAAATGAACGCTGAAACTCAGAAGAAGAATCTTGAGGATGTGATGCTCAGTGGAATGGGCTGGGCCCAGAAAGACAAATACTGTGTGACTCCGCTCACAGGAGATGCTTAGAGCAGTCAGACCCAGGATGGGGGAGCCAGGGGCCGGGAAGTCAGTGTCTAATGGGGACAGAGGAGAGATGTAAGAGTCCTAGAGACGGAAAGACAGGGGTGTTGGCTGCATATCAGGGCGAGTGTGCATAATGCCCCTGAACTGTGCACCTATGCTGGGGAATTTTATATGTATTTTACTACGCTAAAAGAAAATGGGGCTGAAGAAGGGCAATGCAGAGTGATTGTTAATGGATACGGATCTCCCTTTGGGGTAGTGAAAAATTTCTAGAAATAGACCGAGGTAGTGAATGCACTGAACACCACCAAACTGCACTGAATTTAGAAAGGTTACCACAGTGGATTTTATGACATGTGTTTTACCATAATAAATCTGGGGCTTCCTGCTCCCCTCTGGTTAGGTCTCCTGTGGGCCTGGGTCTCTGCCACATCTTGGCCTGTGGCCCTGCAATGTCCTCTATAACTGCCCTCGGGACTTTAGCTCTGAATCCTCAGATTTCTGTTGGCTCAGCACTGAGTGGGAGGACTGAGCACGTGTGGCCAGCTGCAACATGTCCCTCTGACCTCCATGCGGTCCCTTTTCAGGAAGCCAAAGGGGCTAGAAGGTTAAGGAAAGTAAGGAAGGTTCCCGGGTTCCTGTCTCAACAGCATGTTAGCCAAATGTGTGTCGAGCTGAGCTCATGCAACTTGGGTTCTGAATGCTGACAGGGACATGGGAAGGTTGTTACCCTGCCACCAAAGACTTTGCTGTGCATACTGTAAACTTGTACTTTGGCAGACAGACACTGTCACCCCTCAACCTGGATCCAAGGATGACAGCATGTGACACTGAAGGAAAAGACAGCTCAGAGCCTCCAGAGGAACACTCCCAGGCACACACTGTTACATCCATACCAGCTCTACCCGTGTGTGGGCTTAGGGGCTGCAGTGGCACCAGCGCAAATCCACAGGGCTGAGGTAAATGCTGAGCAGGGCAGGTGCTTATCTGAGTTTCCTACTTCAAGTGTACGAAAGGGGAAAGGTTAGAGCACATGGGCTCCTGCATTTCGCAATCCCTGTGGAATCATCACTCACCGCTCACTGAGAAGGATGAAGGTCGCCAGGCCGCAGTCTTATCTATTGTTTCGTTTTTATCAGTTGGTGAATCCACAACACTGGGGGATTTTCTAAGGCCCCAAGTGTTTTGAAATTCTGTGCTGCTGGCGCCGTGAGATTTAGAGCTCTGAGGGCTCCTGCATGGAGGACACAGGGTACCTGCAGGGCCCTCAGATTAGGTCTCTGCCCAGAACCCTTGGATGAAAGACTTTTCTGTTTGTTTGTTAAACAATAAAGAAGCCTCACAGATGCTTATCATGATTAATTTTAGTGTCTCTGAAGTTACTGTTCTATTATCTTTTTAATGAAGCAATAATTTTTAAAAAGGATTGCAAGATTACCTACAGAGAATTAATGGCTGTTTGGGGTTGGAGGCCCTGGTAGCGCAGGCAGGTAGGTAGGCCTGCAAAGCCAGGGCCATGAAGGGCTGGCCTCCCTGGTAGCCCGTGCACTCTGGACAGGAAAGATCAGGGACACAGACATAGGAGACCCCGCTAGAATTCCAGGGATACACCAGGCCCCTCAGAGCCCACCACCAAGACAGGGAGTATCCTGGCAGTAAGAGTTAGCACTTCACCCTCCTGCATGGCTGAGAAACCTGTGCAGTGGCTCTGCCCTAAGCCAGAGGGTTTCTTAGTGAGGAACAGTGGCCCCCACAGCACAGACACAAGCAGGCAGTCTTCAAGCCAGTGGGCTTTGGGGCCAACTGTTCCAATTCCATGTGGGCCATGATAAGCCACAGACAGCGCCATCCTCGGCATTCCCGGGAGGGTCAGCTGGCCGGAGACACGGTGCAGGCATGCAGGCTGCTCAAAGCGCCCTTTGTTCCGGGGCCTGCCTGTGGCCAGCTGCTCCCAGCCGCCAGCCTGTGTTGAGAGCCCATGGGCCCCCGCTGACATGTGCTGGGCACAGCTGGAGCCCTCAGGCCATGCTTGCCACCCACCCAGGGGAGCACTCGCTCTCTATCCTGCCAAAGCAGAACAAGGGGTTCAGGTAAGCTCTGGGGCTGCAAGGACTCTGTGGAACCAGTAGAGGATTCACAGAATCAGAGTTCAGCTGCCCTCAGACCCCTTCGCAGCAGGGACAGAGCAACACCTTGCTGGGGGAAGTGATTCCTGCCTGCTACCACCCCTCCTCTCAAACAGCACTTGGCTGCTGTCACTGCTCAGACACCCCACTGAGCCCTGTCAGCCTTGCTCTTAGGTCCCCGAAGCTTAGTTACTTCCTAGCAAACACACTGGACCTACAGCCCATGATCTTGACCATGGACCCCTCTACATCCTGCTCAAGGCCTGACAGTCTGAGGTGCAGAATAAGTCAACAGGACATTTAGGCCCCTAATGTCCCCAGCAGGCACAGAGGCGAAGAGGAGGCCCCCAAGGAACAAGACAGTACACCTAGGAACCAGCCTCTCCCCAACACTAGCCATGAGTGCCCATGAAAGCCCATGAGCTATAAGATGGCACTGGGGCAGAAGCCTCCTTGGGAGAAAGGGCAGCGAAGCCCATGCAGAAAACAGGTTCCAGATGCCACAGGCCATGTGTTGGCAGCTGCTCTGTGTCCTCACGAGGGTAGTCCTGACTTTGGGGCAACTCTGGGCAGCACAGAGCCTCTTTCCCCAGAGAGCCAGCTCCACCTGCCAGCTGTCCAGGCGGCCATTCTCCACACTGAGCAAGAGAGGCTTCAAAGCTTGCTCTGTTGCCATGGGGAGGGGCATTCCCATCCATGAGGCAGCCAGGCCCTGCAAGTGGGCGACAGCTGTCATCTGGTCCCCCCATCCCGGACACCACTCTGGCAGGTGGCATGATGCCCAGTGTCCACTGTGGGTTGTCTGGAGAAGCTTCCCTGAGGCTGAAGCCACGGGGGCTGGCCATCTTCTCTTCCTCTGTTCCATATCCAGCCAGCCTCAGGAGTCCTCAGAGTACTGAGTCTAGGTCTTCCTGCTCTTGCTCTGTCCTAGCTCTACCTCTCTGGTTGGCCTTGGGTCCATGCCCCATTCTTGCAGGAGCTATGTCCGATCTCACTATAGCCCTCCAGAACTACTGGCCAGTCCAGCAGGGCCTTGGATGCCCCAGCTCACGAGGCAACACACTACCTTCTAGGCTTCCCATAAAGTTCCTCTAGCACACCCAACAGTCTTTCAGATAGCAACAAAAGTGTACTTTTATTGTTCATGGGATGCTACTTGAGCAAACCTTGCAAAAAAGAAGGCCTGCATGCCAAAGCTCAAGTGATTTCTTTTGCCAGCTCAGAGCTCCATTCCAGGCCTCCTAGTCTGGGTATTCTTATCTGTGGCCCTGTCACTCACATACCTAATGCAAGTGGGTCCAAGCAGGAGGCAGCTGGAAGCTCCAGCCCTATGTGCACAGTGCGTGTCTGGGGCGGTGGTGGGGGGGGGTGTTTGTCTCTGGTAGGAGAGGGGAGAAGGTCAAGACAAGAGACTTGGACCACACCCTCAGACCTAGCACATTCCTGGGCCCATTATCATCAGAGCCAAATCTTTCCCAGGATTGTAAGCTTCCGGACTCAGCCTCTGAAAGTGGCTGCCCACCCACAGTGGGAGGAGAACAGGGCCCCTCGGTAATTTTAATTTCACATGTACTGTACTGCCAGTGCCTTATGGAGGCCGACTAGAGTTACATGCATTTCAGGTGGTTTAATGAGGTGCTTTTAGCCCTGGGACCCAGTTTGCTGCAAGCCAGTGAAGTGGGGGTACCCACGCACTACCAGCTCCCTTCCTTCCTACCTGGGTGTTCTCAAGGTCAGGAGGCGGACAGGGGGCTCAGAGGCAAACTGACACCTGGCTGGGACTGGGGAAGCAGATGGTGCCAGGAGGAAGCCCACAGGCCAGCCCCACGAATGGCCGCCCAGATGAAAGCCATGCAGTCCCCTGCCAGCCCCAGAATACTGAATCCAGCCTTTACCTAGCAGTGAGTAGGTATGTGAGTAGAAAGCTTCTGAGTAGGAAGTGCTCTCAGAAGGGTGTGTTTGCACAATACATTGCACACATCATTATTTTTTAGTTTAATAGATGGATTTTTGCTTATCCATGAAGCCTCCAGACAGTGATGTGGACAGCAGCATGAAAAGGAGAGAACCCAGGTGTCTGCAGTGAGGGAGCAGGAAGGGAGGCGCAGGATAGGAAGTGCCCATCCTTGGATGGACAGGAAGCGTCTTTCCACATGCAGAGGCCCAACTTGGCATCACTCCCCGGACAACTAGCTTCTCCACCTCAACTTGCTCTCTTTTTTCTACTAAGGATAGTGGTACTTAATCCCAGAATAGTGCAATGGTTGGTTTTGTTTTTTGTTTTTACTAAATTAGCAATTTATTTCTAAATTGTATTGGGTGTTGATCAGAGAACATGGCCAATTAAATCTCAATGTTTTGAGGCAAGCTAGAGGGTTTTTTTCTCTCTCTCTTTTATGGCCACATAAAGGATTGGTTTCCTTAGTGTCCCATGGGCATCAGGAAACAAAACATCTCTATTATTGGGATCCGGAATTACGAACTTGTTTTAAAACACGGTGCTGACATTCCTCACCACCGCTCCCACGGAATCTGGACTTTGCAACCAGAAGAACTCAGCGAAGGATGCTACAGTTTCCTGGTACTTCCTGTCTCCTGGAATGTTCCTTCTGGAGCCGGTCTGTGAGGGAGCTATGCAGCACAAGGCCTGTGCTGAGGACCCCCCAGCCCCGTAATATACCATCTCGGACGTGGAACTGCCCCACCCAGAAAAGAACAGGGCAGCCTTGGGCACCCACCCTGCCACCCTGGACTACGGTATGGGGAGCAGAGAGCTCTGTTGGCTGTTTGAAAGGACTATACGTGTGGATGTTTGTTCCATAGCTGCAGATAAGGAGCATGGTTATTCCAGATTACTGTTGAGACTCAGAAACTGTTGGCAGCAGCCACATATCTCGCTGTCTACATCCTTGCTTTTTTTTCCCTGTCTGCCAGAATTCTATTCTGAAAGAGCTGTGTTGAAATCACAGTTATCACATTTAACCCACTTTCCCTTACACACTAATAATTACGCTCTTACATATTTTCTGCTGTTTGATAATGTCTTAACATTTTATAACTAAGCCTCCTCTAAGTCCAGAGCTGTGTGTCACCCACACTTACCTTGAATGGGCCTCCAGGTTGCTAATACTGTCCCCTCCTGGGGTTTTTCCCCCTTCTCTTTGTATATAATTGTTTAAAAAAACTTTTTAAGCCTTTTTTTTTTTTGTACCAGGGATTGAACTCATGACCTTGTGCTTACCAAGCAAGTGCTTGCGCCACTGAGCCAAATCCCCGGCCCCTACCCATTCTTTTATTCTTCAACTGTCCATTATTGGTTTGCTCTACTTAATTCTTTTATTTTAGAAATTTTATTGGGGAGTTGTCGGTTTTTGAGACAGTCTCATTGATGTAGTTGAGGCTGGCCTTGAGCCTTCAGGGATCTCCCTGCTTCAGTCTCCCAAATCCTGGGATTACAGGTACGCACCACCACATGTGGCAGTTTGCTCTACTTAATTTTATTGAGTGATGCATCTGTCTAAAAATAAAAGCAGCTGGGTATGGTGGAACACCTCTGTAATCTCAGCACTTGGGAGGCTGAGGCAGGAAGATTGCCATCAGTTTGAGGCCAACCTGGACTAAGTAAGTGAGTTCAAGGCCAGCTACATAGTGAGGCCCTGTCTCAGGGAAAAAAATCTAAAATTAAAAACAGGCTGACAATGTAGCTCGGTGGCAAAGTGAGTACGAACAGAGCCCTGGATTTTAAACCCAGTACTACAAAAACAAATAACCCCTTCTGACAGTCTCCTGTCTTTTAATGGAGTAATTTAGGGTACACACATTTCACATAAAATTGGGTTCATTTGACTTGATTTGCTCTATCTTTATATTTGTATTTTACCCTGTTTCATTTTCCTTTTCCTTAAAGCTGCTCAGATAATCAACATATTGCCCCTTCCCTTCCATTCTTATCTCCAGAGTTTGGATGTCACATTGCTCTCTTCCCATTCCACTAGCTCCTTAGATACAGAACTAAATCAGCTCTTATCTGAAAGCAGTTTCCACTGAGGCGATTTCCCGAAAGCTTTCTTCCCAGTAAGACAAGCAAGTGTGTGGGTCTGTTTCATCCTCTCCCTGCACCTCTGTCACTGTCTCCCTGGGGAGCAGATTCATTCCTCAGTGCTGTTTTTATGGCTGAGAACAGGGCACTGGCTTTTTCTCAAAGGCTCAAGAGTAAGTACTTGAGC